TGGTGGGCTCTGTGCTGCTCACTACACAGTTCGGTCACAGTTCACGTGCATCTGTGGATTTTCTCTTCCCTCTTTGTTTTTGGTCACTCGGTATCCCGGGTGGTCAAAGACTGTCTTGGTCACAGCCCCTCCACATGTGACTGAAACCTGGCTGGCTAATGAGACCTGTGCATTCTCCGAGCTTTCACTCATAAATGTGGGATTATTATCTCTCCCCAGGTTAAGATGCAGAGGAGGTGTGGCCTGCTCATCCACTTAAATCTAATAGGAATTTAATACAGGAATTTTCTGATATTTAAACGGAATGTGTGCTTAAATATATAGTACATACTTATTCTTTGGGATTTTAATATGCACAGTTCTTGTACTTTAATGCCGATCGTAATAGAATTTTTACATCCTACTGGGTTTAAAGATTGAACAGGACCTACAGTCTGTGAGAAAACAATGCAGAAGAGCCGAATCATCCTCAGCACAATCAGGTCTGTCTTTAAACGTGCAACAGTGCATCCTCTCGTTAAGTAAATAAATATTGTCCTGACACATCCATCAAAGTTTAGATGGATCTGCACCGATCTTTTGCAGCAGCTGCAGTATTGGTGAGTTTTTCAGTCTGTTCTGATTCCAGGACACACGGCGTTTTCATGACCTTTCACATGTTACTGATACTAATGACTCTGTAACTGTATTATTTCACTTCACTGCTGGATTTGATGAGGGACCACAGGATGTTCAGTTCACATCTTCAGAACTGTAGTGTTTGTGGCACTGGTTCAAGTCTTATTTGAGTCTTCCATCACGGCCTTGTTGGCCTGTGGTGTAGACCAAGGCTCCAGTGCGTATTTCTTATTGATGCTTATCATGGAAAGACCAAGACTTTAAATGCTGTTGAAAAACTTTACATCTTATTATAATCTGAAATCTGAGCTCTGTGGTCTGAAGGATCTTCTTGGAGTCGTGGTTTTATTTTCCAGAGAACTGATTGGTCAGCTGGTGGTGACTTCACAACTGTTGACATCACTCGTCAAACATAAGGTAAAAAGTAAATGACCTCTGTCACACTGAGGATTAAACATCACTAGGCCCCAAATCCTGTTCCAACCTACAACATGAATCACAGATGAACCTTTAATCTTTCTACTGAAACAGATTTCTGCATTTTGGGGGTTTATTTACACACCATGAGCATCTGAATTACAGAACAGTACTGAATACTGTTTACAGTTTGATACTAAAAGCTGGCTGAGGCCATCAGAGCAGGACAGGTGGACACGCAGCTGGAGTTTCCTTAAAAAACAAAAACATTATAATGTCCTCACAGAAAGACATGAATATTAACTGGAGAGGTTCATTTGTTGTCATCTCCAGCCCCTCGATCGCTGCTGAAGGATGAGATGAGATTATAGATCCTTGTGGTGTACGGGACAAAGTCTTTCTTATAGATGATGACAGTTTTGGTGTGTGCCGTCTTGTAGACCTCCTGGTTTGGTTCCTGCGGCTCTTCCACTTCTTCTTTTTTCACTGAGTAAGAGGAGGGCAATCATAAACATTCATTATCAGTTACTTCTATGAATGTATGTGTCAGCAATAAAGGGTAGCACTGTGGAAACAAACTGGATCAGCTGATATTGAAAATAAATTAAATTTGTTATTTCAGACTAGAGAGAGGATCTGTTTCTTTACACGCCACAGCTGCAGGTCAGTAACCTCTGTTTTGTCCTGTTTGTGGTTCCTTCCTCTCTCACCAACCAGCAGAACGTGATGTAAGCTGCGTATCCAGTGTATGTAAGCTGGATACGCAGCCTCCAGTGTAACTTATTGCATGCATTTGCAGGAAGAAAGAGGCACGTCTCAGAGCTCCTCTTAGATTCATCTCATTTTAATATTTCTTCAGTTTCTTCACATTAAATGAGTAACATCTGCCAGCATACCCGATGACACTAATCAAAAAGAGGCTGTTAAATAATTCGGCGTACTTCAGTTTGAGAATATTGTTTGCGCATGTGTGAATTTCACAGTTCACGTCGCTCACCTGGCGCGACCTCGCAGCGACCTGTGTATTTCAGGTAAGCGTACGAGCCGATCATGCTCCAAATACCAATCGCGTACACGGCGGATACTCTGGCGTTCCACTTCAGCAGATCTTTGAACTTCATGGCTGCTTCGCTCCACAGCACTTTATCATTTCCTGAACGTGTTTAGGTTCCTTTCGCTAGAGCGTTATGGGCGCCGCCATGACAGTCACCCCGGAAGTACTAAAAAATAACCGGTGGCGTGTTTTTTTCATTATTTTTTAATTTTATCATTAAAATCTAGAAATTGTTGATTATTTATGACACAGGGTTCCGAGATAAAATCGCTCACAGTTCATAAACTCACACCATTTTTCAGCATGTGTAACTTTATAAGTGCAGGTTATCCCCATGAAACTGACGGGGTTGAAAAACATATTTAAGCTCTGTTCAAATCAAATCAGTTTTACACTGGCACTGGGAGAACAGGCCTTCACACAAACTGCAGAATGGATGGACTTCCAATTAGCACTCCATTATGCACCAAGCTACCAAGTCTGAGATGCAAGCAGACCTTAAAAGAAGCTGGTCTTCACTCCAGCCAGACATAATTCTCCTATTTAACTTATTGTCCCCCAGTGGACACACTCGGTTTTCATGCCACTTTGGTGACAGTGGCAAGGAAGAACTCCCTTTTAACAGAAAGAAATGTCAGCAGAACCAGGCTAAAGAACAACAAGTTATATCATTGGCTAAGATCACCTTTAGCAGACTTTTTATTATCATACTCAGGGTTGACGTGTATCACTCCCTGGTGGTCTAGTGGTTAGGATTCGGCGCTCTCACCGCCGCGGCCCGGGTTCGATTCCCGGTCAGGGAACACGTGTTTTGTTTGAGCATAATTCATGTTTTACTCAAGCGATTTAATTTCACGTGGACACACCTGTTAGGTCACGTGAGATATACGCCAAAACGGTTACGTGCAAAAAAAAATCGTGTTTCATTTAGTAAGTCCGCGTTATACACATACAGAGATCTTAGCCAAAGTTTTTGTGAAAAGAAACCTCTCCTTCGAGCCGGATTCGAACCAGCGACCTAAGGATCACTGTGATCAGCCTCTACAGTCCTCCGCTCTACCAACTGAGCTATCGAAGGGGGATATGGACCGAGCAGCGTTACAGCGGTTTTGATCAAAATACCCACTGGGATCTGTTTTTCTAGTTTACGTCCCTCATTGCAGCCACTAAAGATCTGACCAACACAATAATGAAATTTCAGTCTTTCTTTATTTTTCTCTTGCAGTAATCATTCACACTTCAGCAGTTACTCTGGAAATACTTACACTTTCCTTGTCATGTCTGTGACGCTCTCCCGTCCCTTTCTCCCTATCCCATACTAACACCCAGCATCAAACCTCCCACCTTCATGGATAAAAAGAAAAACCTACATTTCAAAGTGTTCAAACGGCCTCAGACACTGCACACTTCAGGTCCGGATCAGCCAGATGAGCCAGTCAAGACAAACAGAAATGAAACTTTGTTTGTTTCAAAGCATTCTTTTATTAATAAAAAGACAATTTAAGACCTAATTGATCATACAAAAATCAGCATTCTCCTCAGTCGCTGTGCAGTGTTTGAGCCAAAGAGCTGAAACTGCATCAACACAAGAGGAAGTTGTGATTTTTTTAATAACATTTTCAGATATTTTATTTGCTGCTGAACGAAGGCTGGACGATCCCATCTACAAATATCTGCTGCGAAACCTTCAAATGTCTGCAGAACAGCAGCAGGACAGCTGATATGTAGAAACCTCACAGAACAGCAAGTGTACAAGTTGTCTGACTCTCTATTCAAATTCATTACATGTCACACTCAGATAAAAGTCTACCATCAAATTCCTTTTCCAAAAGAAAAGATGATGCAAATCAGCTTCTGTACACTGACAGGGGGGAGGAGGAAAGACGTTATTTTTTTTGATACTGTTTTTTTTGTCACGTTGTTATGTCATAAAAATCATCACAACAAACAAAAAAGGGGGCTTATTCATTCCACGTTAATTTTCCAAAAAAATGAAAAGAAGGCAATTTAATCTATAATAGTGTCAAGAAATATGCTATTAAAAAGCAAAGGTGTACCTAAATACCATTAAAAAATGTAATAAAGAAGTGAAGGATGTACCATTGTCGTATTCACCAAAATAAAAGCTTAAAACGGGAGAATGTTTGTGGCATACACAGTACACAGACGTCGAGATAAGAGGTCATTTAGAGACCCAACTCAGAGACTGGGCAAAATGTTTTCAGTCGTGGAGACAAGTGGCGAGACAGGGTGGGAGCACGCTTTCTTAAACGAATCCTAGGAAGAGATATACTCAAATGAATCAATCCTGCTGCTAATGTGTGCCGATTGGTCCGTTAAGGATTTACGATTGGTTTTCAAACGATAACAGTGTGGGTGTGGCTAAAGGCCAGCACAAACGTCCATGGCTGTAGAAGAAGCCGGTGGTCGTGTCGGATGACGGTGATGTTTTCAGGAGGCCGCCCTAAACTGGATGGTTGTGCTAATACTCAGGAAAACATTTCACTAGCTGTTTATTTGACAGCTATCGAGAACATTTCCCGAAGAAGAAGAAAATTTTTAATCATGAAATTTGCGATGTTTTTCTACAGTTTCCCAGAATGCCATTTATTCCGGCCCATCTCACAGCGTTTGAACCCCCCCCCCAAAAGAGCCAATCAGAAGTCAGTTTAAGCTGTGTGGTGGTGGGCGGGCGCAGCAAAGATGAAGACCTAGTGTGGTTTCTGTTCTCATGGGAGGAGCCAGAGATGTTTATGTTTAATGTTTGTGGGCTAAAAAGCTTTTAAGTGGTCAAACTTTTGAAGCAGTTTTTAATCAGATTCGACTGGCGACTATAAATGCAGATGTTTCAGAGATGAGGAGATTCCATCTGTTTTCTATCAGCAGCCTCCTCCAACACCACAGCGTTAGAACCAGCTCAGAGGCTCTCGAGTGCGTCCAGGGCCTCTTCCTTTGTGGACCTGCCTAAAACATCTCAGCTGAGCTCCTTCTGCATGACGAGCTCCTCAGATACTTTTGTGGAGGAGTCTCATTTCTGCTCCTTGTGCCCTCAATCTTATCCCTTCGGTCCCTACCTGCAGCTCAGGGCCACAGGAACATCGTTTGACCGGCAGATCTACAGATTAACCTTTCACCCTCAGATTAGCCTGTTTTTGAAGGTGCTAATTCTCACCCGTCTGCTTCATGCTCAGCTGCAAACAGGTCTAGTGTGAGAAGCCCAGTGATAACGAAGCCCTACAACACCATAAATTTGATATTGTTCTTTTTAAAAAAGCGTGCAACAGCCCTTTTTTGTCTCCTGACCTTCAGACCTCCTGCCCAATCTGATCCCATCCTCACGCTCGTGTCTCCCTCCTCTTTAACCGCTACCCGAGACGTTCATCACAGCTCTAATGAAACGCTTCATAGAGAGAAAAACTGCATCCAGTGAAACTCTGATCTGTCAGGAACAAAAGAATGAAATAAAGAAAATGGTACCTGTGTCTAAGGTTAACTCGTACCACAGTGGCTCGATAGTAAGACTCCGAAGGCGCCCGGCAGGTGAGCGGGGGTCGGTTTGGTCTTTAGTCATTTCACACATGATCACACAGAGCTGAGCTCGTGTAAAACCATCAGGTTAAGAGGTAAAATATGGAATAACTGTAAATGAGGAGGACTATAGTAACAATGAGGAAATAAAGTGGATAACTCAGCCTGCAGACTGACATGTAGTTCAAAAGAAAACCCGCCAGGGGGCGCCGCAGCACTGCACTTCAACCGCAGGCGAGCAGGTGGTTTGAACAAAGGCAGCACTCAGCCTCTCCTCCTCTCCGAAAAGTTAGTTACTCTACTCCTATCCTACGCTACGTCCGTGCACCATCCCTCGTTCTTCCTGCTGCCCCTCCTCCCTCTGTCCTTACAGCCCCGAGCTGCTCCGTAGTCTTCCTCTCTTTGTCCTTCCTCTCCCAGTTTTTATTGAACTGCTCTAACTTTTTTTCCTTCTTTTTTTGACTCTTTCCCAGTAAAGTAAACTTATTTTTATTATTAGTACCGATTCACTCTGACCGCTGTCGTTTAGTACCTAAATCCACCTCTTCCTCCTCGTCACTCTACTTTCTAGAGCTGCTGCTTCTTCAAACTTCCACTCGCTGCGGTTGATGCGACTAAACAAATTCAGCATCCCCCGTTACCCCAAATCGCCCCTGCGCCCCCTGCTAACTGCTGGCAGAGAGATTCTGTCTCCTCCTCCTCCTCCTATTATTTTCATGGTTCAGCCGCCTCCTCTTCCTCGCAATCCTCCCTTCCACCCTCCGTCTCCTCCTCTCGCGTTGCCCTCTCACTTCTCCATCAGTGCGTCGTCCTCCGTGATGCCCTGAGCTCGCAGCTCTTCCAGGACGTTGTCGAGGTGTCCGGGGTCGGGGAAGCCGTGGCCCGTCAGGTTGGAGCCGAACTCCGTCTTATGATGGACCTTAAAACGAAGGGAAGCGACGGGAGAACGTGTCAGTCTTTACGTCGCAAACTAACGACCAATCCGATTCACTCTTAGGTCTGAAGTTACCTCGTTCCAGATGACGGTGTCCGACTCTCCTGTAGTGCTTGAAGTACCGACTGAGAAGATCAACCTGCGGTCCCACGCTACCAGGAGCAGTCTGAGTACCTGAGGAGAGGCGAAAAAATAATTCGAGATTCAGCCCAACCTTTCCACGCTGACTGCAGACTGGTTATAGGCACTGTACACTGTGAGGTATTAGAGAGAGAAAACCAATAACATAGCCCCCACAGTGACAAGACCTTGGTAAAGTGGGGAGGAAGATACCAAACTAACCAATTGAAATGACCAGTGCATCATGGGAAGTCCCCGATTAGCTTGAGCATTTAGCAGGACGACAAAGGGGTCACCCAGACTGAGAGGTGGCACCTCGGGAGCTGACATCTCCAAAACTGGGCGACCCAAACCGAAACCATCTAACACTAAACAAATCTGACAGCGGGACCAATGGACGTCTGTTGGTGGTTACCTTGCGTCCTTTCTCGCTGTCTGGGAGGTAGCAGTGTCGGGGAAAGCCTCTGGCAGTGAAGGGCTTCCCTGGATTCGGGTGCTCTGGTCCCTGAAAGGAGAGGAGCAACGTTAGAGGGTGTCAAACGCCACCTGTGAGGGCCAAACGGGGCCGCTGGAGGTACCTGAATGCCTGGTGGGATGTTGTAGATGATGCGTATGGTTTTGCAGTCGGGGTGGCCCGGTAAAGAGTGTGGGATGACATGGTATTCCATCTTCCCTGCCGGCTGGTTTCCAGTCTTCACGCCGTAGATGGTTTTACAGGTGGGACACTGGAGACTGAAGAGAGGAGGAAGCAGATCCATTAAACGAAGGACTTTCCTCAAACCTGAGAGGACGATGAGGAGGGGCGTGGTCTGGTTCTAACCTGCCGTCCTTGTTGCCGTTATTATACATGGCCACCAGACACTGGAAGTGGTACTGGTGCCCGCACTGTGCCAGCCGTCCAACTGACTCCGCCCTGGACACAGGCCCCACCCCTGGACCCTTGTATCCAGACGGGCCCCCCAGTGGCTCCATGCAGATGGTGCAGTCCTGGGAGATATTCAAACAGAGGAAAGGCTCATTCCCCTTTATCCCTGCACGTGGTATGGAGTTTCATGATAACAAACTGAGATCTCACCTCCTCTGGTGGACTTTTTACTTTTTGCAGGTACTTCTTCACCACCTCCTCTGGAGTTTTACCTGCGCACAGAGAGAAGGACGGGAGACGACAGGATGAAACCTGCGGCTGATGGTTCAACATCTCTACAACTGTGAAAGCTGAGAGGACAAAATGGAGAGATCGCCACGCGTACCTTTGCGAGCCTGTTTCTTGGTGGTCTTCCTGCAGCAGTGGCCGAAGCCGGGCACCGGCTTGATGTCGCTCTTGCTAACAGGCGGAGGGTGAAGCACGAGCTTCGGAGGCCTGGTCAAACACACGGGCAGAGCGGCGGCACTCATCAGGATTCCCGTGATCCCTGAAACAACCGATAGAAACAGTTTGGTGAGGAGAGCGCTGCGGTTTCTGCACTCTTACTAACGCTAAATTTGTTTATATTCAATTCAATTTTATTCATACAGCGCCAAATCACAACGACAGTTGCCTCAAGGTGCATTTAGATTGTAAGGTAGACCCTGCAACATTACATACACAGAAAAACCCAACAATCATATGACCCCCTATGAGCAAGCACTTTGGCAACAGTGGGAAGGAAAAACTCCCTTTTAACAGGAAGAACCAGGCTCAGGGAGGGGCGGGGCCATCTGCTGCGACCGGTTGGGGTGAGGGGAGGAAGAGACATAGTCAAATATTTATAAAAATTAGATAGTCAGCCAGAAAAATCTGGTGGTGGAGCACAGGAATTCTGAAAAGGTGACCGGCAGACTGTACAGAAGGACACCTGCCATCAGATCCTGACCTACTTATGTGCTAATGATGTTACTGTAACAGCAGAATTGACTGTTAAAAGTCGTGGGATCCATCCCATTTATATTGCAATAAACGGCCAGTTATTCGGTTTCCCTCGTGTAGCTGTATTGACATATTTGAATGTCTTGGATAATTCTTACCGGCCAGTGCGGGGTGAACAGGACTGGATCCGTTGAGGTTCTTCACCGGGACGGTGGGCACGCTGCAGGAGAAGAAGACAAACCGTTTAGTCCGATGTGTTTCCACGCTTCCTCAGAAGCGCTCAGATCACACGCTAAACCTCAATACTCACTAAGAAAAACTGATGACTGTCATTTTCACACCGGTAAACTCGCAGAGAGACAAAAATGGAACCAAATAAAGAAGAAATTCACTCGTTATTTTTATCTCCTCGATGTGTCACGTACGCGTCTTCTTCCTCTGTGCACCGTTTTGTTTGGAGGAGTGTGTGCAGGACTGCCGGGCTGTTGTGTGTGTGTGTTTATGAGAGCTAATCCTCGGAGTTTCCATCTGCTCACTGAGCTCAAAGAGATGGACGTCACACAGCTGCTTGCTAGGATTACCTGCCTCGTCACAAAGCCCATCGTCATCACCACCTTGCAAAAACACACACTGACGGACTCACATCAGTGAATTTCTTTCTAATAATCGATGTTTTTTCTGTTTTTGTTTCACACTGAAGCCTCAGGTCAGGTGAAAACTGAAAATACTACAGACTGTCCAGGAAGTCTTATTATTTTAACAGACTATTACTTTTATTATTCTGATATTTACACACTGCAGATCACTCAACAAGCTTGTTTTAACATTAAATCACCAGATTTAAAACTGCCACAGCCCATTTTGAAATCTGTAACTCTCGTATCTCCTTTTCTGTTTTCACTGATTCATTTGGATCTGACTGAGTGACAAAGTGGGTGAGAACACCATTTGTCCATATTCTTAGTTAACATTGTTTTGATTTAGCCACATCTCATATGTACTGTGTAATAGGCAAACATGTAGGCAAGGCAAGTTTATTTGTATAGCACAATTCAACAACGAGGTGATTCAAAGTGCTTTACAGAGACATTAGAAACAAAAACAAATAAAAAGCATGATTTAAAATTGATTAAAACAAACAAACAAACTAATTAACAAACAAACAAACAAACCAGTATATAAAATCAAAACAGATAAAATCAGTAGTTAAAAATGTAAGTTTTGAAATTTAAGCTTAAAAGTTTTGATTTGGTGTTTTATTCAAATACAGCCAAGAACAGGTGAGTCTTCAACCTGGATTTAAATAAACTGAGTGTTTCAGCTGATCTGAGGCTTTCTGGGAGTTTGTTCCAGATATAAGGAGCATAAAAGCTGAATGCAGCTTCTCCGTGTCTGGTTCTGACTCTGGGAACTGATAAAAAACCGGATCCAGATGACCTGAGGGATCTGGAAGGTTCACACTGGGTCAGGAGGGTTTGTTTACTATCCCGGGTTTGTTTATGTTTTGCACTTTTACAGATTACGTAACATAACATCCTGGTTTAAATCAATTCTGACAATTTTGGTAAGTTAACATGTTGTTTATTTCAACTGTTAACTGGTTTAGTTTGAACTCACCTTACCCACCTCTGTTCCAGGAGCAAAAGGAGGAAATGCACTTTCACTTCCTGTATTTGTAGCTTCCTGGTTAATCAGGAAGGGGTCACAAGGTCACA